ATTTTATCACAGATTTTAGTTGATTTTATCACAGATTTTAGTTGATTGTATCATTGATTTTAGTTGATTTTATCACAGATTTTAGTTGATTTTATCATTGATTTTAGTTGCACTCTGTAGCACTTTGAGATTTTTGTTAATGAAAAGTGCGTTACAAATTAAATTCATTATTATTATTATTATTGTCTAGTGTGGAGGTTTTATGTGCCTGCTGACTCTGAAACTAATGCCCCTTGAGGATAATAAAGATTCTTGAACTTGAACACCACGCACACCCTAAATCTACTCCTAATCTTGCTCATTTGCAAAACAGTTTACAGAAAATAAGATAAATTAGCACAAAAAACTAATATATATATTTTTTTTCTAATAAATTAATGAATTGAAAAAAAAAAACATTTGCATCTACATCTATTCCCTACCAACTATACATTTATTAGAAGATTGAAAATTATAGTTATATTTTTCGTTACCTTAGAAAGCAACAAAGGGGGTAAAGACATTATAAGAACTTCCTTGTCTCAAATGTTCGGATCAGCTATTCGGATTGTCTCCGAAGAGAAATTCGTCTTGGACTGAAAAGTGCTGCGCTTAAAGGTTAATTAAACAAAAACAATACACACAGATATATATTTGTATAGTGTTATATACAGTGTTATAACAATACACTCTGACCGCATAGGGCGTTATCACAGTGAACCATTTTCATAAACACACCAAACCGGCTGGGAAGCTTCAGCATTTCCCAAAGCTTCATCTGCCCATCACTAAAACACAAGTTAAAATCCTCCTACCTGGTGCGTTAGACATCTGTCTACTGAGATCCAAACACCATAAAAGCTTAGCTGACACTTGATTTTAAACCGTTTTTTAGAATAAGTGATAATAGGAAGCTACTGAGGAGTGGATATGACCGCCCAGATACGCCTTCCGAATTTGCCTGCAGAGATACTTACTTGGAAGCTACTACCCGTTTCGTGTTATATTGGTCCGTTAAAAATAGTGTCCGTGTTCGTCGTGGTCCAGCTCAAGATTGGTTCCTACTGCTTATCAGACGATCGCTTTTACAAAACAACAGAAAATAAATCCATTATGTTAATAACCTATTGCTAATAAACGAGCACATCGGAAGTTTTTAAATATGTAACAAAACGCAACATGAGTCGCATTAAACATTATCTATTTATAGCACATAAATTACTTTAGTTTTTTTTTTTTTTTTACAGAGAAATAGCTGCCACTGGTTTCAAAGTTTTCTTGTCTTCATCAGCTTAGTCTGGACTATCTGCTGCAGGAACTAGGCTCACGCTGGATTATTGGCTTTAGTTTTCTCATATAAGCTCCCACTGTGAAGATTAGAAATGCATCCAGCCACACTATCATGTGGGGCTTTACACTGACGTTGTGTGTACAACACATAATTAATATACTGTAACAGCAACGTGTTCACAAAACTGTAGTTTTACTGGGAACTTTTTTATTAGGCAAATTTACAATGAAATCAACAAACAATATGCCCTAATGGACAAAATACAATTTGACTGAGATGGAACACGTTTCTAAATATTTAGCTTTATAAGCTGAATGGCTGTACTCTTATCTACAGATTCTGGGATGAAGAAACAAACATGAAATACAAAGAAGGACAATATACTGCACCAATAAATGTCAGCTCCTGAGAAGACCACATTTGTTCCACTTTATTGCATTCTTTTTTTCGTTGTCTGGATTTATTTATTTATTCAATGCTCGTGTTCACTCATTTTTTTGGATTCCCGTCATACAAACAAACCAGCTGGAATCTCAAATTTCAAACTAAATCAAATGTGATGCATTAAGTGAAAGCAGTTTTCTCAGATGACTCCTCTTGGTTCTGAACTGGTTCCTGTCCCCCTTCTTCTGTCTTTGAGCTCCTCCTCTGTGTACCCCCCGTCTTCTTGTCTCAGGCTGTGGTCGTAATTATCGGCTATGATCTGACACTGTGGCAACATGTCCTCCAGCAGGATGATCACCAACCCAGGGGTGGAAATTCTCGGGAGGGATGACACATTCAGACGCTTCAGTTTCCTTCAGAACACACACAAGGAACAAAAGCAACATGAGCAACTTGCAATTACTTTTATGATCAGTTAGGCTCTCCTGTGACTTTAGGCTCGTTACCTGAGGTTCCCGAGTGCAGCCAGGCCGCCTGCGGTGATGCGTGGACAGTGAGAAATGTCCAGCTCCTCCAGAGTGTCCTGGAATATGTAGAGTCCAGCCAAAAACCAGTCATCCACCTCAGAACACCCCTGTAGTTTCAGGATTTGCAAATGGTGCTGCTTCTCTGAAAAAAAAACAAAAAAAAAACACAACTATAATGATGACATTCTAAAAAGCTGAGATAGAAAACAGTGTCCATGAATATAGTTCAAGCAGAGTAAAAACTGACTTTGAAAGTAATAAAAGGCTGTACTGGAGCTCATTACCGAGGTTAGCCAGTCCTCTATAGTTGACAATGGTGTAGCTCAAGTCGATTTCTTCTAGAGATGTCTCTTTGTGCTTTAGAAAATCCCAGCTGAACTTGCCCCTCTTGTTGGCCCGGAACCAGTCTGAGTGGCCGGTGAACCTGAGGATGTAAAACAGATTGTGTTAAATACAGATACACATAAAAGAAGATGTTAACACAAAGACTGCTCAGAGAGAAAGAAAACCAAACTGTAAAGACAAAGTAAAGAACAGGGCTCCCAGCATTTCATGAAGACAAAATACCCTGAGTTTTCCTGGAGTACATCCGGAAATTCCAGGAGATATTTCAGTCACACAAAACACTCAGAACTTCCAGCAAAGATTTCCTGTAGCATTGAGTGTTTTAACCGTTATGAGATATGAAAGAGGTGATATTTTTTTATAACTGATGGCCTCCCTTCTCCCCTTATAGCCATCCTCTCCACACCATCATTATGAAATGATGAGTATAGTAACAGCACACACACACAGGATATTGGACAATAGTACTGCATTAATACATGTACTTGTCAAAGTCTCAGATCAGTGTTCAAATTCCCTGAGTTTTCTATGATTTTTTTTTTTTTATGTTTTATTTTTATTTATTTATTCAAATGTCCTGAGTTTTCACTTTCTGGAAAAAGTGAAAAGCACAGATTTTCCCTGATTTCCAGAGTCACTGGAAACCCTGATGATGAAGGAAATGATTTGAACATTCGTACATCTAAACCAGTTTTCGACAACAAATGTGTATGTGGGACGAGTGCAACACTTTGGAAGCTTGTAGCAGAAAGGAGGTGGCTGTATTCAACAAGTTCCCTCTCTCTTCCCAACAGTCTTCAGCCTTAATATCTCTTAATGGCTAAGGTGCTCACTTTATTGTCACTATTCTTCAGTTTAAAAAAAAGGTACCACTGTTGTCAAATTTTATCCTTTGATAACTTGGATGGACTATTTTCTTAAACATTTTGTATGAACACAACTCAAGATTTTTTGGATTACATTTAAAATAATATATTACTTTTAGGATTACTCCAGAGACCCCTTCAGTAATTGTATTATTATACCTTTATTTATACAGGTTAATCCCATTGAGTCTCTGGGACTCACTTATATTTTGTTTGATCAAATGACACCTTAATGCTTGAATAAAAGGGACAATGCCATCATCCAGCCAGCTTGCATTGCATCTTCAGAACATCAACAAATAGTTTAGAAGCAGCAAGCATCACTTACCGAACTCCTCCCCCCAGATTCAGAACAAAAAAGGCCGATGCAATGTTAGAACCATATAAACTTTGGGTGTAGCCATAGAAACTGTGAAAAACAGCAAAAAAAAAATGTTGCAGTCAAATATGTAGAGGAAGCTGACAAAGTGGATTTGAACTGATTTCAAAGTGACCAGTGATGATCATTACATCAGATCTTTACAGTTATTAGAATGTTTGTTTATCTAAATACATCTTTTAATTTTACACCAATAAACATACAGATAACTCAGGAAGGGTCTAATCCTTTGTTCTTGAGCTTGAAAGCAGTAAAAGGTGATTGTATTTATGCTAAAATGTAGTTTGATTTTACTTTACGTCCACTGGGGTCCAGCAGATGTAACCACCATGAGCAGGTAGAAATATTTCTTACTTGTTCTTCTTCTGGATTTGATTTCCTTTCAGCTGAGCCTTCCAGGTCACGAGCATTTCCACGTCGTAGAAACGTTCAGTGAGGTACAAGATGAACTTGGAGAGAGGAGAGGGAGATGCTGAACTGGAGAGCCTCTGTTGCCTCGCAACCAGGAGGAGAGCCGACCGCTGGCAACATCTGTGAAGAAGGCTGCACAAAAACAAAAACATCATGAGAGAGAGAGAAAACACCATCTAAAGTGCAGATGTGGTTAACAGGGGAGTAAAAGAGAACAGGGGTTCTATAGGCAAGATATTTAGTGAGAGCTACAGGCCTGGAGGAGGCTGTAAAAACAGAGATCTGTAATCCATGTTAGCTTACCCATTAAACTCCTAGCATTAGCCTAATTTACAAGCCTGCTTTACTGACAGAAAACACGGTCACCTACCCAACAACACGTACGCTTTAAAATAAGTTTTAAATATATATTTTTTAACTTTAAACATTTTAGTGCTAAGTGGAAATTTAGAGGTCAGCTCACCACCAACTCGGTCTACATAACAACGCCATTTCACGGAGAGTCAGGAGGGACAAACTTAACGCTTCCGCCTAAAGAACGACTTGTTGTTCTCTTTGTCACCACAGGGTGGCGGTCAACGCACGTTTCACAGCATGACCGAGTTTAAATAAAATTGAACATGCAATTAATACAGATATGGTGTCTTCTAAAAACCTCAATATAACTGTCAAAGTATTTTTACCCTTCTCTAAAGTAACAGTGTTCCCACCACAAAAAAAAAACCTAAGAAAAATACTATTCTTGCTATGAAACTTAAGTAAAGTCTTAGTATGGTACAAACAAATCAAAGAAATGCAGATAATTTGTCTTTTGTTACATTTAATTGCTGAGGTGAGGTTTTAAATTGTGGTTAATCTTCTTCTTCTTTCGGCTTTTCCAACTTCAGGGGTCGCCACAGCAAGTCATCCTCCTCCACCTCACTCTGTCCTCTGCATCCTCTGTCCTCACTCCAACTACCTTCATGTCCTCTCTAACTGCATCCATATATCTCCTCTTTGGCCTTCCTCATTGTCTTTTTCCTGGCAGCTGCATTTCTAACATCCTTCTACCAATATACCCATGGTCCCTTCTCTAGACATGTCCAAACTATCTCATTCTGGCCTCTCTAACTTTATCTCCCAGTTGTTCGACCTGTGCTGTACCTCTGATGATCTCATTCCTAGTCTTATCCATCCTTGTCACCCCTAAGGAGAACCTTAGCATCTTCATTTCTGCCACTTCCAGTTCTTTCTCCTGTCTTTTTGTCAATGTCTATGTCTCCAGACCATACAATATAGCTGGTCTCACCACTGTCTTGTAAACTTTTCCTTTGACCTTTGCTGACACCCTTTTGTCACAAATCACTCCTGAAACTTTTCTCCATCCACTCCATCCTGCCTGGACTCTCTTCTTCACCTCTTTACCATATTCCCCATTTTCCTGGACAGTGGACCCCAAGTACTTGAAGTCCTGCACCTTTGTGACCTCTGCTCCTTGTAGCCTCACTGTTCCACCGCCCTCCCTCTCATTTACACACATGTACTCTGTCTTACTACGACTGACTTTCATTCCTCTCCTTTCAAGTGCATACCTCCACGTCTCCAAGTTCTCTTCCACCTGTTCCCTGTTCTCACCACAGATCACAGTCATCTGCAAACATCATCGTCCATGGGGATTACTGCCTGACCTCATTTGTTAGTCGATCCATCACCAGAGCAAACAAGAAGGGGCTCAGAGCTGATCCTTGATGCACTCCCACCTTCACCTTGAAGTTATCCGTCACTCCTACAGAACATCTCGCCACTGTCCTGCTGTCCTCATACATGCCCTGTACCAGTCTAACATACTTCTCTGCCACTCCAGATTTCCTTATGCAATACCACACCTCCTCCCTTCACTCTGTCATATGCTTGTTCTAAATCCACAAAGACACAATGGAGTTCTTTCTGACCCTCTCTGTACTTCTCCATCAGCATTCTCAAAGCAAAGAAGGCATCTGTGGTGCTCTTTCTTGGCATGAAACAATACTGCTGCTCAGTCACCTCTCGTCTAAGTCTTACTTCCCCAACTCTCTCCCAGATCTTCATTGTGTGGCTCATCAACTTAATTCCCCTGTAGTTGCTACAACTCTGTACATCACTCTTGTTCTTAAAAATGGGCACCAGCACACTTCTTCTCCATTCCTGAGGCATTTTCTCACCCGCAAATATTCCATTGAATATTTGAGTCAAGGACCTCACTGCCGTCTCTCCAAGACATTTCCAAACCCCCACTAATATGTCATTAGGTCCTACTGCCTTCCTCTTCTTCATTCTTTTCAGAGCTTTCCGGACTTCACCCTCACTAATCTTTCCCACTTCCTGGTCCACAGTTTCTATGACCTCTACTCTTCTTTCTCTTTCATTCTCTTCAGTCATTCCTGCCATCTTCCCGTCACACTCTTCTCACTTGTTAGAACATTACCATTCCTATCTTTAATAAGCCCAACCTGCTGCACATCCTTTCCAGCCTGATCCCTCTGTCTTGCCAATCGGTACAAGTCCTTCTCACCCTCTTTAGTGTCCAGTCTCCCATACAACTCATCACACGTCCTCTGCTTTGCCTTAGCTACTTCCCTCTTTGCTCTACGTCCCATCTCCTTATATTCCTGTCTCCTCTCTTCAGTCCTCTCACTGTCATATTTCTTCTTGGCTAATCTCTTTCTTTGAACGGCGTCCTGCACTTCACTATTCCACCACCAGGTTTCCTTATCATCCATTCTCTGTCCAGATGACACACCAAGTACCTTCCTACCTGTTTCTCTAATAACTGTTGCTGTAGTAGTCCAGTCATTTGGAAACTCTTTCTTACCACCCAGAGCCTTTAACAGCTCCTCTCTGAATTTCTCACGACATTCTTCCTTCTTCATCTTCCACTATTTGGTCTTTTCCACTGATTTTACTCTTTTTTTCTTCTTCACAACAACAGTCATTCTACACACAACCAGCCAATGCAGTCTGGCCACTCTCTCCCCTGTCACAACTTTACAGTCCCCAACCTCCCTCAGGTTTCCTCTTCTACACAGTATGTAGTCAACCTGCCATCTCCTTCCTCCACTCTTATAGGTCACTCTATGTTCCTCCCTCTTTTGGAAATAGGTATTGACTATAGCCATTTCCATTCTCTTGGCAAAATCCACCACCATCTGTCCTTCCTGGTTTCTTTCCTTGACACCAAACCTACCCATCACTTCCTCATCCCCTCTGTTTCCTTCACCAACATGTCCATTCAGGTCTGCTCCAATCACCACTCTCTCCTCCCTGGGAGTACTCTCTATAACTTCATCCAGATATTTCCAAAATGTATCTTTCTCCTCCTCATCACATCCAACCTGTAGAGCATAACCACTGACTATGTTTAGAATCAGAATCAGAATCAGTTTATTATTGCCATGTCAATGAACGAGGTTCACAAACTAGGAATTTGCTTCGACATAAGGTGCGAATAGTAATAAAGTAAAATAAAGTAAAAATAAAGTAAAAATTAAGTAAAAAAGCATCAGACCTTCTACTTCTAGCTTCAGGCACATCACTCTATCTGACACTCTCTTCACCTCTATGCTTTGCCAACTCCTCCTTCAGGACCACCCCTACCCCATTTCTCTTTCTATCCACACCATGGTAAAACAGTTTGAACCCTGCTCCAATGCTGCGAGCCTTGCTGTCCTTCCACTTGGTCTCTTGGACACATGAAACATCTACCTTCCTTCTCTGCATCACATCAGCCAGCTCTCTACCTTTGCCTGTCATTGTCCCCACATTTAGAGTTGCAACCTTCAGTCCTACATTCTTAACTTTCTTCTTCTCCCTCTGTCTCCTGACACATTTCCCTCCACGTGATTTTTTTCTCTTGCAGCAGAGGGAATGATAATAAAATAATTGTAATTTTAATTGAAATGCGCATAACAAAGGGATGCATTGTTTTATTGAAACCTGGGAATTCGAATACTTACTGTATATACCTTCATGTAAAAAAATCTCAAAGTTTATCATAAAAAATAACAAATACATTAAATTTAGTTAATTTTATTTCAACAGCTTCTTTATTTGCCACGCCAACATTTTTTAGTTTTGTCTGTACCTTAAGTATAAATAATATTTTAACTTTAAGAAGGTTATTTATTGTCTAAACCTGCTTGGTCCTGTTCAGGGTCCATCATAGAGCCACCTAAAGACAGACGGTCATTCACACATTCATACATGGACACATGTTAGAGTTACCAATTAACCCAACATGCATGGTTTGGGTCTGGTGTAGGAAACCAGAGTACCTGGAGGAAACCCCACACACATGGTTAGAGCAGGGAGTTGAACCTGTGACCTCCATTTTGCAGATCAGATCAACAGTGCAAACAAGTCAGGCCACCAGGAAGCCTTTAGGTGATTAAAGAGGGTCATCAGTTCATGTTGTTTGGTCTGAAGCCATGGAGATGAGTTCTACACCTTTTTAATTTGTCACAGCTGATTCAGGTGAAGACAGTCGAGCAGTTTGTCTTGGAGGTTCTTCTCAGGAGGAGGCGTCGCCCCTGTGTCTTCCCCAGGTCACTTGTGTTACTGCACAGTGCTGGAATCAAACCTCCAACTTTTTCCATAGAGGATGACTGCTCTAACCCCCAAATCTAACTGCTTCTGCATATTTTGTGTTCTGTTAGCAAATCATGTGAGAACGTTATTCTGGAGACGGGTGCTATGATTTCTTTTTATTTGTTCGTTTTTTTGGACATTTTTTATTTATTTATTTAACAAGCCAACATTTTTGACCATATAAATACATTAATACTTCACACAAATTCCTTCAAAACAGTTTTTATTTACTTTAGCTCGCTATTTCCATTTTTGTCCTCATGCTTTTTAGATGACATTTTGCTACTTTTAACTTTTACCATCTTTTTGTTTCTTTTATATTTAGCCACTGTTCTGCTACTTTTAGCTTTGAGAGACCAGTCGGCTACTTTTTTGCACTTTTGCTGCTTTTAGGTTTTAGCTAACTTTTGCTTTATAAAACTTTTAGCTTATGTTTTGCTGTTTTAGCTTTTAGCCAATGTTTAGTTGCATTTACCTTTTACATAGTGTTTTGCTAATTTGAGCTAGTGTTTTGTTAGTTTATTGGCTTTTAGCATTTAGCACCTTTTAGCAAGTGTTTTGTTCTTTTTAAACTTTTAGCTAATGTTTAACTTTTTAATAACTTGGGTAATTTTTTTTTTGGTGCAAAATTCAGCAAAATCATTCAGGACTTAGCAATAACTGAAGTTTTACAAAATATTCAATTCTTTAATGAATTTTTATTTCAGTTTTAGCAAAATTTCAAATGTGCACGCGTCAGTATGAGATTAAATCAAAATGTGTCATTTGTTTTCCACCAGTCCGTTCGGTGCGATGCCCAAATAAGTTTCACTTCACACATTTATAGACTATTATGTCTGTTTTACTACCTGTACAGGAGGTCAAAGGTCAGCTGGAGCGTCTGATTCTGTAAATGGATGATGAT